ACTGCACTCCAGTCTGGGCGACAGAGTGAGACTCCAACTCAAAAAAAAAAAAGAAATGCACTAATTAGCCAGGCATGCTGGCTAACACCTGTAATCCTAGCACTTTGGGAGGCAGAGGCTAGAGGATTGCCCAGGGGTTCAGGACCAACCTGGACAACTTGGTGAGACCCTTGTCTCTACAGTAAATAAAAAAATTAGGCAGACTTGGTGGTGAAAGGATTGCCTGATCCCAGCAGGTCAAGGCTGTGGTAGCCTTGAGTGTGGCCACTGCATTCTAGCATGGGGATAGAGTGAGACTCCAACTCAAAACAAGTAATTAGTTAGTAATGGCCGGGCTCAGTGGCTCAGTCTGTAATCCCACGCCTTTGGGAGGCTGAGGTGAGTGGATTGCCTGAGCCCGTGGGTTTGAAACCCGCCTGGGCAACTTGGCGAGACCTCATCTCTACAATAAATCAAGAAATTAGCCGGGCATGGTTGCGCGCGCCTGTAGTTCCAGCTACTTGGAAGGCTGAGGCGGAAGGATCGCCAGAGCCCAGCAGGTGGAGGCTGTGGTGGCCGGGAGCGGCCACTGCACTCCAGTCTGGGCGACAGTGAGACTCCAACTCAAAAAAAAAAAAAAATTAATTAGTAATGAATACATATTTTGTGGTAAAAGATTTTGACATTATATGTATTATGACACAATATGGTATATGACATTAAACTTTAAAATTATGGTAACATAAATTTTCACCTGTAAAATTTAATGTCAATTTCTAATTGCTTCTTGCTTGAATTAATTATTACCATAATGGTCACCAAATAGTGATTTTTCTAGCTACATTTGTTAGTATCCTACTACAAGGTAAAGGTTCTCTTTCACAGAATTTATTCATTAATTCAGCTATTTATTTATATCCGTATGATTTCATGTATTCCTATTTTGCTCAATGGGCTATAATCCATCAAGATAATTATTCACTTTGATGCTCAATTTGCCCCATATTTGGTCATTGTGAGCCCTTCAAGCTGGCTCTGGTGTTTTTATAAGAATATTCCCATGATTTATTTAAAACCTCCATACTTTCTAGCACAATAAGATGTCCAGGCATGAATATTTTCCTGGCTTGTACTTTTCCTGCCACAGCCCTAACTTCCTTCAAGTGCAGAATAATATTTTAACCAAGATCTGGGTACTAGGTGCTCTTATGGCAGCTGGGATGTCATTCTTTCTATGTCTTCTTAGCCTGATACAGTCAGGAAGTATAGGTATGTTTGCATAACTGTGTGTGCGCGCGCGCAAATACACACACACACACACACACACACACACACGCACACACACACACATTCCTATATCTGTTTCTACAAGCTAGAAACCATGGGTTATCCTGATACCTATATTTAAAACCCAAATCATATGGTTATTCCAGCCTTCTCCCTTTCCATATTTGCATCTCCCTTCTCCAACAGGGAGAAGTAGCTCTCATTATCTGTAATGTATTTATTTATTTGCTCAGTCCCTTTGGCTGGAATCAGTCTCCAAACCACATGAGTTACCTCCTTATCCCTGACTCTGTTGAATCATGCTGGCCTGGGCAAGCTAAGAGTTCCCCCTAAGAGTTCCCCCCAGACCCCTAACCAGGTTGTCTACTGAGTCATATCTATCTGCAGTGGTGAAGTACCTTCTCGACCCTGGTGGAATACTTGCCAAGAGTTTATTTCACAACACATTGTGTTCTCTCTTTGTTTGTTTTTTGAGTCCATCTCACTGTCTCCCAGGCTGGAATGCATTGGAGCACTCACGGTCACCACAGCCTTGACCTGCTGGGCTCAGGGGAACCCTCTGCCTCAACCTTCCAAGTAGCTGGAACCACAGGTACGTGCCACAACATCCAGCTAATTTTTTTGATTTATTGTAGAGATGAGGTCACTCCAAGTTGCCCAGACTGGTCTTGAACCCATGGGCTCAGGCAATCCTCTCACCTTGGCCTCCCAAAGTGCTGGGATTATAGATGTGAGCCATTGTGCCTGACCATAATTTTTTTTTTATTTATTGTAGAGACAAGATCTCACCATGTTGTCCAGGTTGGTCTTGAACGCCTGGGTTCAAGCAATCCTCTCATCTCAGCCTCCCAAAGTGCTGGGATTATAGGCCTGGGCCACCATACTCAGCCATCATATTCACTTTTCATTGGTATTTCATTGTATATCAACATATATTCATTTTCTGATCTATGGACTTTGTTTCTATTTTTTACTCTTATGACTAAAACTGCTATGAATATTCTAGTATATGTCTCCTGGTACACATGTGCAAGAATTTCTGCAAAATTTATACCCATAAGTAGAGTTTCATTTTACAAGATAATGCCAACCTTTTTTCCAAAGTGGTTGCACCATGTTTATACTCATGGGCAGTGCATTAAATGCCCTATCCTGGAAAAAAAATGTTTATAGAAATGAATTCAAGTGAAACTGGAATAAACAGTAGCTACGACTGGGATTGAAGGTTAGGAGAGTAAGAACAAAGTTACAAAAATACCTATAGGCATGTGGAAGAAACTCTGGTGGGGTGAGCCCTTTCATCTTAAATTGCGTACCTCTGATTAGTGTGAGGGAGACTGATCACATGGATAGAGGAATGAAACCCACTAGTTTGTTCTTGGCTTTTGATGTAGTGTTGGTATTTAGTTTTATCTCCTAAACACACTGAATAATAGTCTTATTATAAGATTTTAAAGAATAGCCGAGCTTGGTGGCTCAGCCTGTAATCCCGTGACTTGGGAGGCTGAGGTGAGTGGATTGCCTGAGACAGCGGGTTCGAGACCCGCCTGGGCAACTTGGTGAGACCTCATCTCTACAATAAATTAAAAAATTAGCCGGGTGTGGTAGCACGCGCCTATAGTTCCAGCTACTTGGAAGGTTGAGGTGGAAGGATCGCCGGAGCCCAGCAGGCCGAGGCTGCGGTGGCCGGGAGCGGCCACTGCACTCCAGGCTGGGCGACAGAGTGAGACTCCAACTCAAAAAAAAAAAAAGAATAAAAGGTCAAGAAAGTTGAAGAAAAGAGCTGGAAATAAAACAGTCACTGTGAAGGTTAGCAAGATGTCCTGCAATGACTGAAAGCCCTTTTAATTCTAAAAAGTATCCATCCTCTGACATGGGATTTACCTTTTGACGGTTGTAGCACCATAGGTATCAAATCTGTGTCTCTGACTGGCAGATCCCCTGATGTATGGTCCATCAGATGTGACATGACCTCAGTTCCCAAGCTGTAAGCGATCCCAGAGGACACTGAAATAAAGGAAAAGTCCAGTCAATTGCATGCAACTTTAGAATGTCTTCTGAAGGCTATACTTAACTTGTCGCAGAAATTTCTCAGCACTTTCATGATAGTATATAACTCATCATAGTCATATTTATGGTGGTATGGACAACTCTATACTAAAGAACAGGAACAAGCATTCAATAGCAATGGCTTTATTCAAAATGAATGTCAGTTTTATGTTTGTAGAATTAATGCCTATTATTTTGGGTCAATTTTCAAGTCTCTGCTCAGTCTGGAAGTAAATGACCGTCCCTTTTATCTGGAAAGTGGGCCTCCAACTCCCCTCTCCAATCAATTTATAGGGACTGACTCACCAGGAATCAGTTTATACTCTAGGAGCCAGTCCCCTCTGCCATTGCTGATTGGACCAGGGTAGACATGTGACCCAAAGTGCACCAAACAGATTCTCTTTCCCAGAAGGTTGGAAATGGGACTGAGAGTGTTAAAATTAGCCTCTGTGGATGACTAGAACTATTTTGACAACTTAGGAGCTCTAAGATGACTATATTCAGCTCTACGACCTGGATAATCAGGAAATTCTGTCTGTAGAGTCACCTCACATCAGCATCAACACTCTTTTTCCTGGATAATAGTATCCAGACTCCTAACTCTAGGTACTATGTACATATATCCTGATTCCAATATTTGTTTCCAGCCTTGACCTTCAGATTCGTCCAACCTCCTGCTTTTTATACATTTTTCCTTGCATGGCTTCTAGATATCTTAAGATCACCTTTTCCAAACAGGAAATTTGTTTTCTCTTTCCAGCCTGATCTTTTCCCAGTCTTTTCCTATCTCCATAAATGTTTTTATCATCCTACAAGTCCTAGAGCCTTGATTCTTCCTTTTCCCTCATCTGTTAGCACATCCTTAAGCTTCGTCCTTAAAAAAACAAACTATATATATCAGCCTATCTCCACAACGGTAATTTAAACCTCTTATGTCTCTCCTCAACTACAATAATAGTCTCTCACTCTGTTGCCCAGGCTGGAGTGCAGTGGCACAATCACTGCTACCACAGCCTCAACCTGCTGGACTCAGACAATCCTTCCGGCCTCCCAAAGTGTTGGGATTACAGGCGTGAGCCACTGCACCTGGTCTACCATAACATTTTAAAAATGCTGTCCCCAGGCCAGGCTTGGTGGCTCAGCCTGTAATCCTGTGCTTTGGGAGGCTGAGGTGAGTGACTTGCCTGAGCCCGTGGGTTTGAGACCCGCCTGGGCAACTTGGAGAGACCTCATCTCCACAATAAACCAAAAAATTAGCCGGGCGGGGTAGCGTGCGCCGTAATTCCAGCTACTTGGAAGGCTGAGGCAGAAGGATTGCCAGAGCCCAGCAGGTTGAGGCTGCGGTGGCTGGGAGCGGCCACTGCACTCCAGTCTGGGCAACAGAGTGAGACTCCAACTCAAAAAAAAAAAAAAATGCTGTCCTCATTTTCCTCTCCTACCCATCCCACCCTATCAATTCTCCCTGAAACATCCAGAGTGACCTTTAGAAAACAACCCAGCTCATAGCATTTCCTGGCTAAAAGTCTCTAAATGTCTTTTTATTACATTTAGAATAAAATGCACACTATTTTTTTAAGTTGGAGTCTCACTCCATCACCTAGGCTGGAGTGCAGTGGCACGCTCACAATCACTCCAGTGTCGACCTGCCGGGCTCAGGCAATCCTTCTGCCTCAGTCTTCCAAGTAGCCAGATGTACAGGCGTGCGCTACCACTCCCAGCTAATTTTTTGATTTATTGTAGAGATGAGGTCTCACCAAGTTGCCCGGGCTGTTCTTAAACCTGTGGGCTCAATTCTCTCACCTTGGCCTCCCAAAGTGCTGGATTACAGGCTTGAGCCACTGCGCCCAGCCAAATCCACACTTTTTTTTTTTTTTTTTGAGTTGGAGTCTCACTCTGTCGCCCAGACTGGAGTGCAGTGGCCGCTCCCGGCCACCGCAGCCTCGATCTGCTGGGCTCCGGCGATCCTTCCGCCTCAGCCTTCCAAGCAGTTGGAACTACAGGCGCTGCTACCACGCCCGGCTAATTTTTGATTTATTGTAGAGATGAGGTCTCACCAAGTTGCCCGGGCTGTTCTTAAACCTGTGGGCTCAATTCTCTCACCTTGGCCTCCCAAAGTGCTGGATTACAGGCTTGAGCCACTGCGCCCAGCCAAATCCACACTTTTTTTTTTTTTTTTTGAGTTGGAGTCTCACTCTGTCGCCCAGACTGGAGTGCAGTGGCCGCTCCCGGCCACCGCAGCCTCGATCTGCTGGGCTCCGGCGATCCTTCCGCCTCAGCCTTCCAAGCAGTTGGAACTACAGGCGCTGCTACCACGCCCGGCTAATTTTTGATTTATTGTAGAGATGAGGTCTCACCAAGTTGCCCGGGCTGTTCTTAAACCTGTGGGCTCAATTCTCTCACCTTGGCCTCCCAAAGTGCTGGATTACAGGCTTGAGCCACTGCGCCCAGCCAAATCCACACTTTTTTTTTTTTTTTTTGAGTTGGAGTCTCACTCTGTCGCCCAGACTGGAGTGCAGTGGCCGCTCCCGGCCACCGCAGCCTCGATCTGCTGGGCTCCGGCGATCCTTCCGCCTCAGCCTTCCAAGCAGTTGGAACTACAGGCGCTGCTACCACGCCCGGCTAATTTTTGATTTATTGTAGAGATGAGGTCTCACCAAGTTGCCCGGGCTGTTCTTAAACCTGTGGGCTCAATTCTCTCACCTTGGCCTCCCAAAGTGCTGGATTACAGGCTTGAGCCACTGCGCCCAGCCAAATCCACACTTTTTTTTTTTTTTTTTGAGTTGGAGTCTCACTCTGTCGCCCAGACTGGAGTGCAGTGGCCGCTCCCGGCCACCGCAGCCTCGATCTGCTGGGCTCCGGCGATCCTTCCGCCTCAGCCTTCCAAGCAGTTGGAACTACAGGCGCTGCTACCACGCCCGGCTAATTTTTGATTTATTGTAGAGATGAGGTCTCACCAAGTTGCCCGGGCTGTTCTTAAACCTGTGGGCTCAATTCTCTCACCTTGGCCTCCCAAAGTGCTGGATTACAGGCTTGAGCCACTGCGCCCAGCCAAATCCACACTTTTTTTTTTTTTTTTTGAGTTGGAGTCTCACTCTGTCGCCCAGACTGGAGTGCAGTGGCCGCTCCCGGCCACCGCAGCCTCGATCTGCTGGGCTCCGGCGATCCTTCCGCCTCAGCCTTCCAAGCAGTTGGAACTACAGGCGCTGCTACCACGCCCGGCTAATTTTTGATTTATTGTAGAGATGAGGTCTCGCCAAGTTGGCCAGGTGGGTCTCGAACCCGCGGGCTCAGGCAATCCACTCACCTTGGCCTCCCAAAGTGCTGGGATTACAGGCTGAGCCACCGAGCCCGGCCAAATCCACACTTTTTACAGGACCCGTAAAGTCCTACCTATCTGACTCCCTTCCCTCTTCCTACCTTCCAGACCCAGCAGGGGTACCTACCTTCCTCTAGCTTACAATACTCCTTACCACCAGCCTCCTCTCTGTTCAACCAACAAGCTTCTCTTTGCTCTTTTACTTGCTTTTTACTTGGCTTACTCCTTCTTATCCTATCCTTCAGTCTCTTAAGCATTTTTTCATCTACCAAGAGGCCTATCTCTGACTTCAGTAGCTAAACTGAGCACTTCCCCACTTATACTGTCTTATCATCTTGTTTATTTCCCTTGTAACATTTTCCATACTCAAATTACTTTCATTTATTTTCACTAGTTTATTGTCTGTCTCTCCTCACTAAAATATAAGGGCTGGCAGGGCGCAGCGGTTCATGCCTATAATCCCAGCACTTTGGGAGGCTGAGGTGAGAGAATTGGCTGAGCCCGCAGGTTTGAGACTAGCCTGGGCAACTTGGTGAGACCTCATCTCTACAATAAATTTTAAAAAAAAATTAGCCAGGCATGGTGGTGCATGCCTGTAGTTCCAAATAATTGGAAGGCTGAAGTGGAAGGATCACCTGAACCCTGTAGGTTGAGGCTGCTTTGACTATGAGCATGCCACTGCACTCCAGCCTGGGCGACAGTGAGACTCCAACTCAAAAAAAGAATCAAAATTAAAAATAAAATAAGCTGGGCTCGGTGGCTCAGCCTGTAATCCCGCGCCTTGAGAGGCTGAGGTGAGTGAATTGCCTGAGCCCATGGGTTCGAGACTTGCCTGGGCAACTTGGCGAGACCTCATCTCTACAATAAATCAAAAAATTAGCCGGGCATGGTAGCGCGTGCCTGTAGTTCCAGTTACTTGGAAGGCTGAGGCGGCAGGATCACCGGCGCCCAGCAGGTCGAAGCTGTGGTGGCCGGGAGCGGCCACTGCACTCCAGTCTGGGCGACAGAGTGAGACTTCTACTCAAAATAAATAAATAAATTAAATTAAATATAAGGATTTTGAAGGCAGGAAATTGGGCAATAATTTTTTTAAAACCTCAATATATCCCATGCGTGAATAGTTCCTGGAACATAATAGACACCAAGTAAATACATAGTGAATAAATGAAAAGATGAATTAATGAGCAAATCAAGAGAGAGAATAACATTGATGGGCAGAAGTGAGCCAAAAAATCCCAAAGGTATTCTGTTCTTGATTTCAGTCTTTTCCAAGGCCTGGCTCAGTTCCTACCCTTGTATTCTGTAGGAGAGTACTATATAACAAATTCTCCCTTTTTGCAGAAGCTAGTTTGACTTGTCAACTGAAGAATCATGTTTACAATGTCATTTTGAGCAAACAGAGAAATGTAAAGAAAAAAGTAAAAAGCCTAATCAAGAGATTCTGTCACCAGGAGAGAACATTAACACTGTATTGATCTACTTTCCAGACAATTTAAGTTGAATTGGATGATTCATATTCTGTTCTGTAATATTTCATTTTAAAAAATCACAATAGATGGAGAACACTTTTCCAATGATATAATTTTAAATAGATTTACAAATTT